TCAATTTCGGATGTTTACATACTCGCGCATGAACGGCTATAATTTACACTGTGTATCAATATTCCTATACTGTGGGAATGCCAGGCTCTGACGCGGAGTTGTCACCATGGTTACATATCACTCCTTTGTCATAAAGGGTCGAGTGCAATGCACGCTCAGACGCGTATTAATTCCAATTCCAGCACACCACACTGTCTGGCCCGCTCTTCGTCTTGCCTCTGATATAATCTATTCCCTGCCTACACACACCTCACTCCTACGCCATACTGCCACTGCACACACGTGCACACAGCCTGTGACCGGCATGCTGTTCAACTGGTTGGTGGTGGTAGTCAACGACACTACATACCCCCCAGACGTACGGACGCTGGCGGATGAGTTAGTGATTATGACGGTCGAGGTGTTCTATCTGGACAAGAAACAGAATTTCATTCTCTCGGCTGCGGACGTGTGGGTGAAGCGCCTGGTGGCTGGCATGCAACAGTACAACACGCACACACAGGAAGGTGTGTACAGGGGCTCGCGTCTGTGGGCATGAGCATGAGCATGAGCATGTGCATGTGCATGTGCTTGGCCACATGTTTGTGTGTGTACGTTTGCACAGATTTGTGTGTGTACGTTTGCACAGGTTTGTGTGTGTACGTTTGCACAGGTTTGTGTGTGTACGTTTGCACATGTTTGTGTGTGTACGTTTGCACATGTTTGTGTGGGTAAACAGTGTCTCAGAATAGACAGTTGTGCGTGTGGCATAGGTGCGCCATGGCGTGGCGGGGTTGGTTTATTCACAGCGGTCGCTATATGGTATATTTGTTTATGTATGATTATTTATGGTATATGTATTTATGGATGTTTATTTATAGTATATTTATTCATGTATGTTTATCTATGGTATATTTATTTATGTATGTTTATCTATGGTATATTTATTCATGTATGTTTATCTATGGTATATTTATTCCTGTATGTTTATCTATGGTATATTTAATGTATGTTTATCTACGGTATATTTATTCATGTATGTTTATCTATAGGATATTTATTTATCTATGTTTATTATGGTATATTTATTTATGTATGTTTATCTATGGTATATTTATTAATGTATGTTTATTTATGGTATATTTATTTATCTATGTTTATCTATGGTATATATATTTATGTATGTTTTATCTATGGTATATTTATATATGTATGTTTATCTATGGTATATTTATTTATGTATGTTCATCTGTGGTATATTTATTTATGTATGTTTATCTATGGTATATTTATATAGGTATGTTTATCTATGGTATATTTATTTATGTATGTTTATCTATGGTATATTTATTCATGTATGTTTACCTATGGTTTATTTATTCATGTATGTTTATCTATGGTATATTTATTTATGTATGTATATCTATGGTATATTTATCTATGTATGTTTATTTATAGTATATTTATTCATGTATGTTTATCTATGGTATATTTATTTATGTATGTTTAACTATGGTATATTTATTTATGTATGTTTATCTATGGTATATTTATTCATGTATATTTATCTATGGTTTTATTTATTCATGTATGTTTATCTATGGTATATTTATTCATGTATGTTTATCTCTGGTATATTTATTTATGTATGTTTATCTATGGTATATTTATTCATGTATGTTTATCTATGATATGTTTATTTATGTATGTTTATCTTATCTATGGTATATTTATTTATGTATGTTTATCTCTGGTGTATTTATTTATGTATATTTATCTATGGTATATTTATTCATGTATGATTATCTATGGTATCTTTATTATTTATGGTTCAGTCGTAGGCCCATCTCAGAGTGTGCCTGACCAGAGGGTAGTGTAAGGACCATCTCAGAGTGAGCCTGACTAGAGGGTGGTGTAAGGCCCATCTCAGAGTGAGCCTGACTAGAGGGTGGTGTAAGGCCCATCTCAGAGTGAGCCTGACTAGAGGGTGGTGTAAGGCCTTTCTCAGAGT